GACTTGCCCCTGGATTCTAAGTATGGCTACCAATGGCCAGGACCAAGTTGATGCATAACTATTCCTAGTGAAGGTTGACCTGTCCAATGTTTACGTATCTTAGACAACTTCTGGGTGGGCTATAAAAAATCCATATATGGAGCTACTTTGGAAAGAAATATAAGTGGCTCAGAATGTGATATCCCACTTGTCTCAAAAGAATGACAACTCTCAGAGAAGAACTTCCCTGCTCTTCACTGAGTGTTTGAATATCACTTAAAGTGCTGTTTCTTTACAGTTGAAAACCCCAGGTGACTTGTTTTCAAAAGGTGTGTCAGGGAGAATGCCTTTTGCTTTACCAATGCCTTTGTGCATTTAGATTGTTAAGAATTTTTCTTAATTACTAACATTTATACTCTACTGAATTGGAGTACCATGTCTTCAGGAAAACAGTGAAAAAAAAATATTTCAGTGAACGTGTGGACATTATTTGCTGTTCAGATCTCTGTCATTTTTATCTAGAAATGCTAAAGATTTTTATTACAATAGTGACATTTTGTTTTATGCTGTACATTATTTATTTGATTTTTTTTTTATTGCTTAATGGATATCATCTGCCAGAATGCCAAGATAATTGACTGATGAACCCTACTTGGTCTGGTCAGTGAGTGAGATGGTTATAAGACTTCGAAGGTTGTGACAGATTGCCATAGAGGAAAGGATGGAAATAGTTAAGAGGATTAAAAGTTGCTTTTCTTTGGACGCGAACTCTAATATTTTCCATCAAGAGGGAGCAAATAATCTCCAAACACTCCTAAACTACAACATCCAGTTTTGCTGGACCTAGGGAGAGTTGAACTGATTATCTGGAAGCATACAGTTTGCTCATTGCTCCTTGGAACAGCACCAGTTCTTTGCTGGAGCATTTCCATTTTAAGTAAAAGCTAAAGGTTGCATTTTATTAAAACTTGACCTGTTCTATAGAATGGAACTATGAAGTCAGATTATTGAATTTGTGGAAGGCAGAAAATATTTTGAAAGATAAAAGAGAAGATTCAAAAAAAAATCTAGACAGGCTTGGATTGTGACCTGAAACAGAATGAAATATATCATCTGGGAAGGAAAAAAGTTATATAGGATGGGAGAGGCCTGGTTTGGCGGTAGTATATCTGAAAAGGAACTAGGTGGTTCTAATATATCATGAATTAAACATACACCAGCAGTGCAAAGCAGAAGCTAAAGAGGCAAATGCTATTAATTTGGAGACAGCATCATTGCCTAGGACTTTTTTCTTCCAAAGAAAAGAGTCAGAACAGGAGCAGAACTGTTCTCTGCCCACCCTTCACACCTCCCCGATTGGCTCCAAATCCTTGTGGTAAAACGTGATCATTTGGATACCAGGTTTTGGCAGCCCAATTTTAGGAGGAGGGTGAAAAAGGAGCTGTTGGCTGCCAGAGGTTTCCTGCTTCCAATCTGCTCCCATTCTTAAAAGCACTTTTTAAAAAGGCTGGAAAAATTGGCGCTGCTCCTTCAGATGATGCCACTGAGTCACCAAATGAGGCAGAGGCAGCATTGCGAACACGTTGCTCACTATCCAGGAAGCCATCCTTCTTTTCATTTTAATGCTAATTTTATTAAAACTTACAACTACAATGATACAAAACTAATACAAACTAAGAAAAAGAAAAAGAAAAAGAAAAAACAGAAGGTGCAGAAAAGAAAAAGCTGGGTTGTTCTATCTTATTTTGCTTTCCCAGATTGACTGCCTCCGTAGTCATGCTTTTGTAATTCTGGTTTGTGCATCACTTTGTTTTCCATCCCTTATTGTCATAAACCACCTCTCACTTCTATGTATGAATTGACTCAGTTGACAGCTGCTGTATTTCCATTGATGTGAAAGAGTATGACTCTTGTCTTTGTTGTTTTGATTTATAAGTCAACTGGATGGCTCATGCACAAATGTTAAACTAAAGCAGAACCAAGCAACCTTGTTTAGTTTGGAAACGACACCTTTCCAATTTGTAAAAGGCCTCCAAAGACCACCTGGGGAAAGTGGGGAGATGTCCAGGGATACAGAGATGTTGTTGGATAGGCAAGACTGAATATTTTTGGCCTCTGTGTGTGTGTGTGTGTGTGTGTGTGTGTGTGTGTGAGAGAGAGAGAGAGAGTGTAAGGGACAGAAATGTATGCATTGCCCTTACCACATCCATTTCTGATCTTTTTGTGAAATAAAAACAGCCTCTTTTGCTGACAAATGTCACTGGGACAATAGGGAGATGCTCTAAAAACTTCAAGATGGGCTGTGCACTGCACCTCTGCACAGTGGACAAAAGCCAGGGGTCCAACAACCTCTGGAGGGCCACCAGTGTCTTCCCTAACCCACTATAAAAAGAAAATTTGGCATAAGAGAAATGACTCCCCTCCACCAGCAGTGAAAGCAGAAAGCAGGAACTCCCAGACCCATCTTCAGCCCTGCTGTGCTGTCAAGTTGCTTTGTCTCAGGTGTTTCGCAGGCTCCTCGGGAACTCCCAGGCCCCACTAATTCTATCTGGAAAGAGGGCAGCTCCAACCCTGAAGTCAAATGAACCCCTAGCTAGCAAGTGACATTAGTGAAAAATTAGCAAGGACGTGATCTTTCCTTGAGACATCTTTGATCTTGCTGGGATTATAATGAGACAAAGTGAGTGAAACACAAAACAAGCTTTGTGGAAATGACGAGACAAAAATGTCAAAGGTCCCCTACCTCCTGCAAACATACTGAAGTTAAATTAAATACATTTATTTCTGATTTCTGTTGAAAGGCTGAATGTTCATGCTGTCAGGTTTGCTCTGAATATGTTCAACCAGGCAGGGGAAAACTGAGATAAAATATATTCCAGGAACAGGGCAAGTGAGAGCCACTTTGGTGCAGTGGTGAAGGCACCAGGCTAAAAACCAGGAGAGTGTGAGTTCTAGTTCTGCCTTAGGCACAAAGCCAGCTGGGTGACCTTGGGCCAGTCCCTCTCTCTCAGCCCTAGGAAGGAGGCAATGGCAAACCACTTCTGAAATCTTGCCAAGAAAACTGCAGGGACTAGTCTAGCAGTCACCCGGAGTCAAAAACTGACACGAAGGTGCACACACACACACACACACACACACAAGGGCAAGTAGTCCAGTTCAAACAATTTTTTAAAATGTAATTCCTCTGCAGTATCCAGCTGCAAATCCCATGTTTTGTAAAACCCTACCCTTGTTGCATATTCCTTTATGTTTTAATTGATCCTGATAAAAGTATTATCCTCCATGGGGATTTGGGGGATGGGGGGGGGAGGGAGTGTCAGTACAGCTGGTATTGCTTTTTAAGTGTCTTGAGGAAAAAAAAAAGTCAACATTGCACATCTCAGTGTAATTTACACAGTTTATGAACTATGAAGGGTAAACAGTTTTTTCTTCATTTGTTGGAAATATTTCCTGGAATATTGGTAGAAAGGACTGAAGACTGATTGTCCATGAAGGACATAGATTTGTACTTCCTACCTCCCCCAAAATCTACCCACAAACATATATATCAAATCTTGTGCTCTAGCCATGGCCACAGACTCCCAGGGGTTTACAAGCAAAATATTTGCAACTGAGAAACAGGATTCAGCTGAAAAAAAATTCTGGCAACTTCACTGACAATAACTTTTGAAAATTTGAAGATGCAACACAGCTCTGTTCTGTTGTTGCTGTTGTGTATTGTTCGGAATAGAACACATACACTTTTAATGTGATGCTTTAGTGGGTGGCTTCACGGTCAGCAATGCTTATAGAAAAGAAGCCAAACTAGACATGAGTGTTGAGATAGATACTGTCCCTTTCCTAATTTTTCATCAAGAATTTCTTGGAGGAGGGTGTTTTCAGGGTGGTGACAAGGGAAAAAGAGCTCATTTTCTTTTCTTTCCATTTTCCTGCTCCTTATATATACAGGGAGTCCCCAGTTTAAGAACGAGTTCTGTTCCCAAGGTCTGTCCTTAAGTTGAATTCGTATGTAAGCCAGAACAGTATTATTATATAATACTGTACTGTACACAACAAGTAGTGTTGTGTAATTAACTTGAACCACTGTGTATTTAACTTGAATAATTGTGTATTTAACTCAAATTTTGCTACAATAGGTTCTTTTCTTAACTAGGGGTCATCCGTAACCCAGGAGTTCTTAACTGTATATTGTTAAAAGATTCACCTGGAAGGCTAACTCCAGGTTTCAACTCTAAGCATGTTAGTGTCATATGGTGGTGGGAAAAGGAAGAAAATCCCCCCTTCCCCCCCCCCCCCAAA